TTAAAAAAATCTTAAAGGTTGTTATTAATCACCTCTATATTTATAAGAAAACAAGTTTATACTCTTCTGCAGTGGAAGAATTAGAGATGGGGCCAAAGTTAAGGCTTTGGAAGTCCAGGAACCTCAGCCATTGGGGGATTGTCAATGGGGCTGACAGCACTAGCTGCCTCATTGAGCTAAAAGACCCAGAGGTGGTCCTCGGCAGCGCGGTGAAGGAAAAGAGGGTCTGGATTTAGTTGGGTGGTTCTTTTATGTGGAGGCATGGTGTTATGCCTGTGTTTGATACTTTTTCTTTAGCGCTCACATTCATTATTCTCAGAGGCCTTTTTGGTGGTGACTCCAGGAAGAAATGATCATTCTACCCGCTGTAGGCCACTGTGGCCCTCTCCGGGCTCCAAGGCAGTGTGTGCCACGTCAAGTGTTTCCCAGGCAGCCATTTTAGTTTCTATTTCCTCCCCTTCTTCCTTCCTTTTCTTTTTCCCTTCCTTCCTGATAAGAGAATCTCTAGCCACATGCCCCAGGATGATTTCGTCTTAGCTCCAGGAAGTGACTCATCACTGGTTTAAGTTAATCAGAGAATCAGACTCCTTCCTCCAAGTGATTATCTCAGGCATGAGTTTGAGATACAATCCCGGCCAGTGAGACTTGAGCGGCACTCTCCAGCTGGGGGACTTCTGAAGCAGTTGTCCAATTGTCCTCTCTTAAGAGAAGAAATATATGTCAGAAAAACATTTTTTTTTTTTTTTTGAGGCAACTTGTGATAGTGACGATGAGGCATAATGGCCTAGTAGAAAGATAGAAATAATCTATATATTTTTTTATGTGTCACTGAGTTACTGAAAAGCCTACCCTGTCATCTCTCTGACTCTGGACTTATTTTGGTAAGATCACTTTTCATTTTATAAGGCATTCTTCAAGATTTTCTCTTGGTTGTAACTCCAAGCACCACAACTGATACACTGGTGCTCTACTTTGCACCTTTATAAATGATCGTACTGGAAGGTTCTATATTGTTTCTAAAATTGCCAGGCATGGTGGCACATGCCTGTAATCCCAGCACCCAGGAGGCTAAGGCAAGAGAATCACTGTGAGTTTTATGGCCAGCCTGGGCTACGTTGTGAGTTCAAGGCCAGTCTTAACTATTCAGTGAGACTTGTCTCAAACTCTTACCACCACCATTGAAAAGGAAAAGCTATGCCTCCTCGATAGGGTGGCAGTTCCTTGTGCGTAGGTCTTATTCACTTTACAGTCTCTGGTATCTCTCACAGAGACATCAATTTGCTACATCAATCGCGTGTTCAATGAAGACTATGTCTGAGAAGTGCTCATTGTCAGGGAGTCCAAACTAACTGACTGAGCCTCTCCACATTCTAGCCCAGATCTGTCCAGCAAAGGCAAGAAAAAGTCAGTTGTGAAAATTCTCTTCCACCTAAACACAGAAGTCAGGTGCTGCCTTCCTTCTGCACCATCTTGTAAAGTGGACAGTCTTTCTCCAGGCGAGCTGTACCCAGGCACATTGGGATTTTGCTCTTTCTCCTTTAAAAACTCCTCATAAAGGTAAATTTTAAAAATATATTTTAGCTATATTTTGGTCAGTGCCTAGAGGAACACCATTCTTGTCCTTTTTGGGCTTATGTTTACTTTAAGGGATGAGAGAAAAATAACAAGTAGATGAGGTATCATAAAACTAGCTCTTTAGAACTTTTCGGGTTAGGTCACAGGGTGTGTGTGCACACTCAGCTCAGTCTCTAAACACTTATTGCTTCAGTGTGGGCCGACACTGGAGCTAGTGATACTTTTTTTTAATGAAAAGAATATTTACAATAGTAGCTGTTTCCAGGGTGACTCTTGAAAGTCCGTGTATGTCTAGCATAAGGGTAGCAAAGGGGAGCAGGTATGATGGGGTGACCTACAGCCCCAGGCCTTGTGCATCCCCTCTCCCTGGGGATGGTGTTGGCAGCTTGGAGCCCAACAGAAGCCCTTGCCTTTGCGTTTCCACCTCTTGGGATCTCCTTAACAATTGAAATAGGTTTTGCCTGGTGTGGTGGTACAGCCTGTAATTCCGGCACTCACAAGGCTGAGGCAGGAAGATTGCAAGTTTGAGGCCAGCCTGAACTACATAGAAAGAACCTGTCTCAACACAAAGAAAAAAATCTTGTTTTTCAAGTTTAGGTTTTAAAATTTTTTTATGTTAAAGAGAATAAAAAATAAAAACTATACAAAATTTCAAAACAACATGATAGGATATCAACAATGGTTCTTATATTGCATATTGTTATCTTCAAGGTAGTTGCTCAGATTAGCAGGTACAGGCATACAAAACTGATCAAACAATATAAACACTAACTGTAATTATACATGCTTATGGGGCACAGTGTGATATTTTGATATATGTGTACATTGTGTAATGGTCAAATCAGGGCACTTAACATCTCCATCACCTCAAATATTTATCATTTCTTTGCAGGAAGTGCATGTGAACTGTAATATTAAGTATAGTCATCCTACTGTGCCAGAGAACACAGGATTTATTCTACCTATATAACCATACTTTAGTAATCATCCACTAATCTCTTTCCACTTTCCCTCTCCCTCTGTCTTACCCAGTCTCTGGTCACTACTACTTCTCTCTCTACTTTTGCAAGATCAACTCTTAGATTCTACAAATCAGTGAGGACCTGTGGCGTTTGTCTTTGTGGGCCTGGATTATTTCATTTAACCTAGTGTCCTCCAGGTTTATCAGTGTGACCAAGATGACAGGATTCCAGTCCTTTCTATGGCTGCATAGTACTCTATCACCTATATGCATTATACTTTTTTTCCTCAGGTGGTGGACATTTAGTTTGGGTCCATGTCTTGGCTGTTATGGGTAGTGCTGCAATAAAAATGGCAGTTTTTGTTGTTGTGTTACTTAAGGAATGTGGGACTCTTTTGTCAATTTATCACTGTACTTTATTTTATCTTTATTCACTTCTCGGGATTTAACTTCTTCCCCACAGTAGCCTGGGCTCCTACCTTGTTTCCCAGAGAACAGGCTTTGGGGGAAGCACAAAGCCAGCAGAGGAAGAAAGGTGGCCCTTCTCCCCCACCCCTTCCTCAAGCTGGGGTATCTGCTGCTGTGCTTCCTGCTCCTGCCTTCTCCCACCAGTTTGTTCCTCTCCAAGCCAGCTGTCCTCACCTTCCTTCCTCTGGGCCACTCAGTATCTTCTCCTCCAGCTGGCACTCGAGCCAGTGGTGCAGGGGCTTTGCTCCTGTTCCTGTTTCCTGATGAAACTCATACCCACCCTTTGAGTACTGTTGGCAGCGTCAGCCAGGGCCAGGGGCAGGCAGAGGGTCGAGGCTAGTCCTCCCTGCCTCTGCTGGCTGCCTTCTTTCTCTCCTGGTGCTTGAATGAAAGAATGGGAAAGATGCTGTAGCTTGGACCACTCAGTTGTCCAGGGCGTCCATGCTGTGTGTTCATGCTCTGCATAAAGGCCCTAGTCCAAGGGAGTTAGTGAAGGTTTAAATCTACCACATAACCTTCCTGTGCTGTGTACCTGGTAGAAGAGGGTCTTATTCATCCAATGAAGACTCCATTTGTGTTGGTTCAGCTACACATGAAAAAGCAAGGATCTCAATGGTTAGAGAAAGGCTGTGCACCAGGAACTGGGCCTAGGAGTGTGTGTGGTCTAGCCCTGTCTCCACCAGAGCCTCTGCCAGTACTTTCTAAAGCAACATAAATCAGGCTATGGTAGAATAGAATGCCCTCCCTTGAAAGGCCACACAAATTGCAAAAGGCCCCCACAGTACAGGAAGAGAAGAGTTGGTAATTTAATCTGCTATTATAGTTTGTGTCTAGATGTCCCCCACAGCCTCATGTGATCATAAAAAGGGCTTTTCAGAGAGGGCTGGATCTAGGGTACGTGATGCTAGGATGAAGGGTGTGACACTGGAATTTAGGGTGTGTGATTACTACATTAGACCACTGACTGATCTGACACAGTTCTGGGTGTAGATGGTGGGAAGGCCCACCCTGGATGTAAGTAGCACCAGCTAAAGGGCAGGTAGCCTAGGAGGGATGAGAGGGAGAGGTAGGCTGCTGCTGCTGCTGCTGCTTCTTTACCTTGGTGCCTTGCTGCCTTTGCCAGCCATGAACTCTTTCTCCTCTGTGATGCCCCTCTGCCATGCAACCCAGCCTTGGAGCCAGCCAACTATGAACTGAAACTTCTACAAACTGTGAACTACAATAACCTTTCCTCTTTTAACTTTGGATGTCTGATATTTTGTCTCAGCAAAGAGAAAAGTAACCAAGACATCTGCCTTTTTGTCAAGTACAATGGAAGGACTCAGGGACTAGGCCCCTGGATAATCTTTCCCGACCGACTCTCTCTTCCTTTCCATGTAGCCCCTCTTTGAAATTTCCCAGGCGGGTGTCCTCAGCTTCTATCAGGTAATTTTGGCCCATCTATGCAGAGCTTTAAGGATGGTCCCCTCAGATACTGCAGTTGAGAACCTCTGGCTTTTCTTGGATGCAAGGGGCCTCTCTTCATTTGATCATTGCACAGGGTTACCATCTTGCCTCTGAATTGAAGGTGTTCTACTTCAAGCTTAGTTTTCCCGTAAGAGCTTCTTCAGTAATTTTTCTAAGAATACTTGCCGAACTTGCAAAACCAACAATGATTTTTTGATGTCTATACAGTTTATCCTCATATGAAGAATGTATTTATGAAGAATATATATATATAAGAATATATATACTATAAGAATATATATATATATATTTAGCATGACTTTGATCTTTTTCATATCAAAACCATAACCCCTGGCATTCTTGTACTTAGGAACATTTGACATTTTCATGGCATATTTAGCAAGGGTCACCATAATATTTTGAAATGGCTTTCTCTTTACTTTCTAAGGGCACAAATTGTGATTACATTACATATTATTTCCAGTCTCTCCCTATCAATAAAAGATCAATGTGGTTTTAGTTTATGGAGTCATACTGGCCCTGACCAGTGTGTAAATGCAGGTGAAAATTTGGATTGGCATAAAAAGCAGCATGTTTACCCTTGACATGTCCCTATCTTCACAGATAAGGAAATCTTTGAACTGTGATGTTTCAATGGAGAGGAAGCTAATGAGGGAAGCACTTATAATCCCTTAGGAGCTGAAGTACAGAGGGACATAAGAGTGCTCCTGGCTTTTCATTCCCTTTCTGTCCTCCATCCTTTTCCTTCCCTTCTCTCTTCTCCCAGTATCACTAGAACTTCATGGAGCCACGTGAAAGCTGGATATAGAGATTTCATGATGGTCCTTAGATGTTCCGTAAAGATCCCTGGGAAGGGCTGGAAGGGGATAGAGAAACTTCATGCAGCATCCAGAAAGGAAATGGTCTCTTGCTCTTTAGCGCCCCCATGGGGCCAGCCTGTCTTTTAAACAGGGCAGATACGCTGAGTATAGGTATTTAGGAATTGCTTACACTGAAAGATGGTGATTGATATTGATGATGGCGCCACATTTTGTTCTCCCTTTCCCATCCCTTTCTTCTGTCCAATTGAATCAGTCAGGAAGTCTTGTTAATTATTCCTCCTAAAGCCACTGTTTCTCCTCTTATTGTTCTTAATTCTTAAAAATTAGTAAGCAGACTTACTTTGGGTTTCCTGAGAAGAACAGAATAGAAAAGAAGGATTTGAGAGAAGGGAAGTTGCCAGAAACAGCAGCAAGGGAGGAGGGGAGCGAGAGAGGGGAAGCTGAAGTGCTGGCGTGTGCGTCTGTTGTGTGTGAGACCCTGCGACCCCTGAGTGGCGTATAGGAAGCCTCCGAAACTAGCCATTGCAGGACGGATGGTTGGGACGTTCGTGCACCACCTCCTGTCTCCTCCTGGTTGAAGGTTTGCTCCAGAGATGTTAATATCACGCTTACACGGCAGTGAGGCCGACAGGCACCTGCAGCATCCGAGAAGACCCTGAAGAGGAAAGAGGGAAGACAGCAAGTTGAAGTGGATGCTGTCAGGGGGAGGCGAATCTGGGCTCTTGTAGAAATGATCCACCACAGCTGTGGCTGACATTAGAAACGGAGCCAGGGGACAGAGCACTGAGTGTCAAAGGTGTCTGCTCCATAACTAATGAAGAAAAGCGATTCTTAAGGCATCTTCTCAACTCTGGCCTAAGTGACATTCTCTCTAAATATGAGGCAATGAAGATACTGCATGATCTACTAATAATGGACTTTCAGTCTCTCCTCTTGCTTTTCTCAAACTTTCCTAATCAATTCCTTACTGGAAATCTATAGTTGATTTCCATTTCCCATATGTAAATAAAAAATAAAGAATAGAAAGTTGACAAAAGACTCTTTAGAATGTAGCTGTACATTTTACTTTCTATCAGTCTACTTTGAACAGCAAAAACTTTCCAAAAGGGAGTTCATTAGAAAAACATGTTTGTGTATAGTTACTGTGTAATGAGAAAGGTCATAGTTTGCTAATGGGGTAGAAAAATGCAAACAGAGGGGCTGGGGATATAGGTCAGTGGCACAGCACCTGCCTGGAAAGTGCAGGGTCATGAGTTCGATTCCCGGTATCAAAAGAAAAAAAAAAAAAAAGAAAAAGAAAAAGAGAAACAAAAACAAAAAGAAAGAGAAAAACAAAGAAAAATGCAAACAGGGAGACTCAGTTGTCCTGAGAAAATGAGGGCAAGGTAAGGGACAAATACAAGGTAGGAGAAATGAATCTTGAAACTCTTCTGAGTCACAGGTCTTGATATCTGCCTCACACTTATGCAGAGGCCAAAGGAAGCCTACTATGTGGATGTGCTGGAGCAGGATAAAGGTCTCATGGGGAGAGCTGTTGATCTGACAAGATAATGAATTTTTGTTTAATAAAAAAGGAGGCAAAGAAAGAGTTTTAAATAGTTTTTCCACTTTTATCTTAAGATCATGCCATTCTTTATACTCTGCATGTGGTTCCTTGTGCCATTTTGAGTTTTCAGGTTCATTGTTATCAGAGGCAGGGGTTTCCCTAACTTGAAAGGAAGGAGTATCTCCCAGATAGTACTGAGCACACTAAACACTCCTTACTGGAGACCATGTGCTGCCAAGAGCACAGGGGAACTGGTTCAGTGTTTGTGTTTTGGTTATTGACACACCCTTTTTTGTTAACTGTAAAGGGTACAAGTTTCTATGAAACAGTCTTCTGAAAAAAAATTGACAGGAATCTAAACTTTTGTGAGTAGAGGGGCAGTATCTAGCACACCCATTCATTTCTCTCCATGTTCGCTGCATCTCCAAGCACCACTTGCTTTTGCTCATTTCCACAAGACTAGGCCATCACCAGCGCCTGCTTGGATCACCCTCCTTCACATATATTTCTCTTGAATCTTTTACAGAGGTCTTTCTAGGAAGAATATTGATTGAATCATAGTAAATCTGTAGGAGTTAATTTTCTGCCAACTTTACTGGATCATGGTCAAGAAACATAATTTCTGCTTGTATCTGAGAGGGTATTTCTGGAAAAGATCAACATTTGAATCAGTAGACTAAAGGGACAGATTGTCCTTCTCAATATGGATGGCCTCATCCAATTCTTTGAGGATCTGAATAGAACAAAAGGCAGAGGAAGGAAGGCTTCAGATTCTCTGCCTGACAGCTTGTACTCAACTCCTGGTCTAAACCCAATCGACACCATCAGGTCTCAGGCTTTTAGACTTTTGAACTGCACTGCAAGTGTTCTCTGGATAACCCTGATTAATACAACATCCTTGCTTAAAATCTTTCAAGCTCTCATGGTTGCTTTGAACATGAATTCCAAACTCTTGAGCAGGAAATAAAATTCTTAATGACAGGAGAGTAGGAAATATGTCTATCATCTCAGCCTATGTCTTGAAACTTAGTGTACTGACTAGTAAATGGTAGGACTCAGTAAATTTTCATTTTTTAGCCCTTGACTCATCTCCAAAATGACTTTAACTCTCTAAGGTGCCTTTCTTATAAAAAATGACTTGGGCATCCAGGCCACTTATATTTAGAAGATATAATTTCTATGACCACTGTAGCAGAAGAGAAGAGAGCTGGAGAGTTGTACAAGAACTTTTCACTGAGTCAGCCAAGACGACCACACACATAGCCCAAGGACCAGAACTAGACATGTGGATCCAACTTGACAGCAAGGGAATCTGCAAAATGCTTTCTTCTTGCATGTTGTATTAGTAGTTAGCTTTTTGGCACCCATGTTTATAGCAGCACAACTTGTCACAGCTAAATCTTGGAAACAACCCAAATGCCCATCCACTGAGGAAGGGATGCAAAAGATGTATTTGTATACAGTGGAGTATTACTCAGTTATAGGAAAGATAAACTCGAGGCTTTTATAGGTAAATGGACGCAACTAGAGACCATACTCATAAGTGAAATAAATGGGATCCACATCTGTAAACACTGTATTGTCTTCCTAGTGTAAGAACATGAAAGAGTAAATAAAACCTGAAATGTACAACAGATATTATGAAAGGGCAAGAAATTGCTCAAAAGAAGAAACAACTGGGATGAGGGAAAGGAGAGAAAGAAAGAAGGAAAAAAAGAATATATATGTATACAGAAGGATAGCTGGCATAACTGTACCGCTGAAGTCAAATGATCTATTGAAAGGAAGAGTTAATGCTTTATTTTTTATTTTTCTGACAAAATTTGCATGCTTATATCTGGTAATCTGAACAAGTAATTTGAAGACAATGATATGCAATATAACAACCATTGTTGAATTCCTATCATCTTGTTTGGTGAAACTCTGTATCATTTATAATTTTTTTGTTGTTACTTTTTATTCTCTTTAATGGTTTGATCAATCTTGCATTCTTACATCTGGTAATCTGAGCAGTTTCACTGAAGATAAAAATATGTAATATAACAACCACTGTTAATCCTTATCATTTTGTTCTGAAACCCTGTCTCATTGTTTTTGTTTTGTTTTTGTTTTTCTCTCTTTGTTTTGTTTTTTTTTGTCTACGTTTTGGCTTTTTGCTATTGTTCTTTTAAAAATTTTCTTTGAGGGGCTGGGGATTTAGCTCAGCGGCAAAAGCGCCTGCCTGGCATGCGCAAGGTCGTGAGTTCGGTTCCTGGTACCGGAGAAAAACAAAACAAAACAAAACAAAACAAAAAAAATTTTCTTTGAAATAAAAAAATGAGAAAAAAAAGTAGTTAGCTTTTTGTTGCTGTGACAAAATACCTGGAATAAACCTTGAAGGAGGGAAGATTTACTTTGGCTCTTGGTTTCAGAGGTTTCAGTCTATGGCCATTTGCCTCTGTTGTTTCTGGGCTTGCGATGAGGCTGAACATGATGGTGGGGAGCATGTGGTGGAGCAAAGCTGTTTGCTTCATGGTGGACAGAAGCAGAGAGAGGAAAAGAGCCAGAGCAGCAGGGAAAGAGACAAAATGTTGTTCTCAAGGACATAATTCCATTACCTGTTCCCTTCAGTTAGACCCTACTTTTTAATGCTCATTCAATTGTGAACTCATCAAAGGATTAATCTATTTCTGAGGTTGGTATCCTTATGATCTGATCATGTCCCCAAAGCTCCACCTCTGAATGTTGCTGCTTTGGGGAGTATACCTTCAACACACGAGCCTTTGGGGGACATTTTAGATCCAGACTGTCACACATGTCCAGGAAAAGAGAGGAACTTCGGCATTACCTTGCATTTTTTCTGCCATATAATTAACCGAGAACCAAAACCAAGAGTGAGGGAGATTCACTGTCTGTATGGTAACAGCTTCATATAAAATATAGACATTGTATTTCTACCTATGTAGTGAGCACCGCATGGGTGTGAGGATTGTGCAGAGTATCCTGGCTGCTCCTACTCTCAGCCATGCTTGGGGAAGAAAGGTAGGTCTTGAATTTGAGGGAGAAAACTGCCATTTTCACTCTCTGGGCCAGAGGGTAAGGAACTCATGACCATGGGTAGAAGGTCTAGATATTCTCATCCAAGGTGGTAGAAAGAAGACAAGATGAATTGATCTTGTCTTTACATGGGAGTCACTTGAGAACAAGGCAGAGACTCTGAAGTCATCATTAGGTTTTGTGAGTGTCAAGAGTGACTGCAGCAATGCAAGAGCAGCACATTTTATCACTAATTAGGTAAATGCCAAATTTTCACTCTACCTTTGGCCAGCACCACTGAATGTCTTTACCGTGCCTTAAGAGCAATCGGGAGGAGAACAAAGTCCACATTTAGATCAGATCTGCACCACATGAGAAACCTAGTGGCACAGGCTAGGAGGTGGAGGAGTAAGGCATCATGGTCATTCTGGTATTTCAGGGTTTGGGGGGCAGAGTGGTGAAAGAAACAAGTAAACAATGGGACTGATTTGTGAAACATGAGTGGTCCAAAGAGTCCCAGGAACGGCTGGGAAAACCTATAGAAAACTTTGACCTCCTCTCCCTGTGCATCCAGGAGCCAAAAGTCAGTATGGTTAGGGTAGAAAAAGAACTATGACCTTATTTTGTAACTTAGTTGGTGAAGCAGGACATTTGAGTTACAAATATGATGAATGTTTACAGAGTACTTCACAGCTTACATTAGCCCTGAATGTTCTCCTGTGATAATAGAAATTATTCTTAGCAGAAGAGATAGAACAGCACTTTACAAGAAAAGTTAAATAATGTTATTCATCATTGTTAATGATAAATAGTAACCACAACAATAATGACAACAGCAAACTTACCATGACAATCACAAATATGGCAAACTTGTTTGTTCCTGATATTTTCTGGACACCCACTTCTCTTATTTTAATCTTTGTTTTGCTTTTAAAATTATCCAACTCATTTTACTGTCAACTTTAGTTGCTGCATTCATCAACTTGGAAAGCCTATAGCCTTGGACAAAAGTGTCATTCGATATGTTTGATATATTCAGCTCTGCCTCAGTAATCTATTTGCAAAATTGTCCAATTTGAAAGTGACACATTTGA